CCAGTAAAAATCTAAAAGATTCAGGGAAGGTTTGGGAGAAATTGCTGTGGTTGGATGAAACCACTATCCTGTCTTTTAGCTTCCACCCTGGCATCAATGACTGCCGTGTTTGGAGGAAGAGAAATGTTGAAAATGACCTGAAGAAAAAACCCCAAAGTCAAGCACAGTGGTGGAAACATTTTTCTTTATGCTGTATTTTTTTTTTTTTTTTTTTTTTTTTTGCTCTGGGGTACCTCATTACATTGAGGAGTCAATGTACCACAAAATCTGAGGACCAGAGCCTCCGTCCCTCAGCCAGAAGAATGAAGATGGATCATGAATGGGTCTTCCAGCCTGACAATGACCTAAAACATAACGCCAAGGCAACAAAGAAATGCCTGAAGAAGAAGCAGATGAAGGTCATGGAGTAGCTTAGCAAATGTCCACCCCAAATCCTGTAGAAAATCTGTGAATGGAGCTGAAGCTTTGAGTTGCCAAATGGCAGCCAAGAAACCTAAAGGATTTAGAGAGTCTCTGTAAAGAGGCGAGGACTAAACTCCTATTGTCTATTTGCAGCATGTCCACTCCTCAAACAACATTCACATCACATCAAAGTACTCATTTTGAGGGGTTTTCAGGTCTGGAATCTGTGATGTCTCCCTCAAATAACTGCCTCCTTTAGGCTGGAGAAACACTTTATTTAACTAACACATGAGACCAGGCTCAGGATACTTATCTGTGTACCGCTGATGTTGAAAACTTCTTTCATAGAGTCGGAGGGTAGAAAATAAAGAAAATAAACAAAACAAACAGCAGTAACATTGGTATTTTTCATGTAATCTTCAATACTGATGACCAGTGATGGGAATAATGGCGTTACAAGTAACGCCATTACTAACGGCGTTACTTTTTTCAGTAACGAGTAATCTAACTAATTACTATTCCTATCGTTACAATGCCGTTACAGTTACTAACAAGAAAATGCGGTTCGTTAATATTTTTCAACAAACAGACAGTTGAAGCTGTGTTCAGTTTACCGCATCTTATATCAGTTGCACGGAAGTAGCTGTAAGTAATCTGGACGCTACAGCTTTAAGCAGCTGCGCGCTCCCGCGGACGGTAATCACGATCACTGTCTAGCACTACACCTGGAACTAAGGGGGCAAAACAATGGCATGAGTGCTGCTGTTTGACTGCAGAAGAATAAAGTAGTCGTGGTAAGCCGATCACATGACCACTTAAAGACAAAGCAACAAGGTGATATATACCAGTTTATAAATTGTGTTGATAGGCCACGTAAAACCAGAGTTATGATAAACAATATATACGCGGCGTTTTTTCCTCAATGGTTTCATCACGTTTACTGTCTAAGGACAGCGCAGCGAGCACTCTCTGCTTATGAGCAAAGAACAAACAAACTAAACAAAAAAAACCCCCCAAAAAACGGGAAGTTTTAGGAGTGACGGGGAGAGAGAGAGAGAGAGACAGAGTTTTGAGATGTGAGAGATTTGTGACGTTTAGCGTGTTTGCAGTGTGTAGTTAATGTGTTGTCTTGTGTAGTTAGTGTGTAGTGTTGTGGATAGTTTTGTGTTGTGTGTCAGAACAATGAGGCGACTGCTGTCTCCAGGTAGAAACAGGAGTAATACACCTGCTGCTGTCAGGCCTGCAGGTATCAGGCTGTGATGTTCTCCTTTGTAGTGGACAAATTATTTTTTTGGAGTGTCACAAATAATTTGTGTGGCATCTTATTGAATGCAGAACAGCTGATTGTTCTGTAAATAGTTTGCAATGGTTATTTAAAAAATCAAGGTAAAAGGTAAATGGATGCAAATAACTTCGTTGTTTGCAAAACTTGTGCAGAGGATTTTAAAATTGACAATCTATATTTGCATTTAAAGTTATGAAATATGATTCATTAAACATGTTTGTGGTTGTTACAGTAAAAAATATAACTTTTTCTACTCTGATTTTATGTTTTTTGTCTGATTTTAGATCAATTGTGTTAATACAGTGTGTCAAAATGAAAACATGACTGTAAATTCAGACACGTGAGGCTGTGCTGAAAACGATGATACCAAACAAGGCAAAGTAAATCGTTTTTAAAGGTGAAATGTGGAGTGAAAATCAAAAGTAGTTAAAAATGGCCAATTATACCCTGGACCCCAGAGGGTTAAACGTTTTTTTAAAAGTAACGCAATAGTTACTTTTCAAGTAATTAATTACTTTTAGAATATTGTAACTCAGTTACTAACTCAGTTACTTTTTTGAAGAAGTAACTAGTAACTGTAAGTAATTACTTTTTCAAACTAACTTGCTCAACACTGCTGATGACATTCACACAGTTGCTAAGCTTAACCAAATTTTATTCATGTGTCTATCAAATTTCTCAACCACTTACCCAATTCATGGTCGCAGTGGATCTGGAGCACATCCCATCTGGTTTTGGGAAAAGATCGGGTACACCACAGATAGATCACCAGTTCATCACACTGTGATCAATGCACCAGTGTATCACAAGTGTATCAATGTAACATCATCCTTTTCTCTAAAATCAAGTCACACATCTCAAACAGCAATTTAAAGATGTCGTCACAACTCAAGTCTAAATAGACTTACTTTTGCCCCTCTAGGGATAAAAGTACCCAGTACACATGCACAGCCAGACACACACACGTCTCACATTCTTCACTGACCAGCGTTGTGACACAAATATCTTTATCAAGGTCGAAATGCGATGACAGTAATTGTTACAGATTACTTGCCAATATAGGCACCACTACAGCAGGTATTACAGTTGTTAGGTCTGGATAATAAGATGGTGTGTGTGTGTGTGTGTGTGTGTGTGTGTGTGTGTGTGTGTGTGTGTGTGTGTGGCTCCATTCACCTTCATTCATCTCATGCCTCTTCAAATTGATGTCATGTTGACTTCACCTACAAGTCCAGTGAAGACAAATGAACTCAGCATTGACTTCCCCTCTGTTTAGTTGATGGATAACCTGACAGATGTCTGATTGATGGCTGATCAGTGATTCCAGTATGGACTCATCCACTCCCAGCATCCCTCACTGAAACAGAACACCTTAAAAAAAAACTGAGCGAATATGTCCACATTTGGAACAAAAGCAAATAAACACAGGAAACTAAAATATATTTTTGTGATATTCAGGTCAAATATTTGATATACAGTAACTCTGTTAGGAAGTTAGTGGATGTTTTGTTCTGGGTATATTCTTTTGTACGATCAGCACCTTTAGTATGTATAGCTTTGGTTATGGGATATTTTTCCCATAAACCTTTTGCATTTTTCATTCAGCTTGAGTATATGTAATAGAGTTGTAAAAGAGCAGTTTAACCATGAATTATTTTAACCAAAGAACTAATAAAGAAGGAAGAAAAAAAAACTGCACAGGCTTGTATAGAATTAAAACAATGTGATTTGAGAGGTTGGGGTGCTTTCAAATTGAGTGCATTGATTTGGATATCACGTAATTTATACAAAGATAAGCCTTGTTTCACAGAGAATAGCTTAAAGATGTTTTTAGAAATATTTCTGAATGTAATCCATGCAACATGTTTTAGATAAGTTGGAGCAGAGGCATAAAAAAATAAAAGCACTTGGTTTTTCTCTGGGCCCCAAGTTCATTTAAGACAGCGTCAGGAAAAGTGTAAGACTATTCAGTGGTTTGCTCTAAAGAGGACAGTGACCATCAGGCTTTTTAACATGGGCAGTTCATAAACTACAGTATGTAAGCCTTGCTTCTAACTGTGAACTCTAACATTTTAGCCCTCCCCCAACCTAAAAGTCAGTGCGAATGGATCCTTGGGTCTGTTTGTAGACAGTGTAAAACGTGGACGTAGCCACCTTGATGTCCAAATCAATCTTCAACAACTGTTTGGGTCGTTGTAGCAGGCTCTAAACATGCTTTCTAATCATGCAAATTTTGCCATTTTAACACTGGAGTTTGTTTATGTGGATTGGACGTCCATCTGGAACCAGACTTAGGTGGCACCTAGAGATAATGCATTATTTGCCACTTTCAGGTTGGCTCAATTTTCTTAACTCTTTCTCTTTTTCTGCCCTCGAGTTGCTTACAGTTTTATCTGATAGTTTTGGACTGATAACACTATATAAACAGAAGAAAGGATCAAATTCTAGGAGGGGGAAAAAAGAAGGAAATTGATTTTTTTTTTTTTTTTTTTAAAAAGAAGCTCCTGAAAACACTAAACTAAAACTATTTCATATTAGGTCCCTTGTCTTTGAATCAGCAGTCTGGGCAGCCAACCTCATGTCACAGCATTAGGTCCATTTTACGCTTTGCAACCAACATCTCAAAGAGCAAATTCTGCATTATTCTTAAAGAACTATCTTCTACTTACCTCACCCATCTCCCTTATCCCAAATCATGTACAGTTTTTTTCCCCTCATGCACCGTGTCACGCTGTTCCCATTACATTGATTCCCACCAGGGAGCTGCTCATTGCTGCAGCAGCCTCACACTGAGCAGTCAGATGGTGCTTGTTTAGGAAAGTAACAAGTCAAAATTACAGACACCCTTCTTCTCACAGCTTCCCAGGATGCTTCCCAGACTGACCACTATTCTTCATGGAACATTGCCATTTTGTAACAACTTTTCCACACGAGCCCTCTCAAGTTTTGAAGCATATACAGACATGCACCCGATGATAAACATTGTGGTGTTTTGCAAAGTGACACAGACCACGATTAAGCTGCCAATTCACATGTGAGCTGAATCTGATATGAGGTTATTTGCTCGTCACCATTTTTTTTTCATGCAATATCTCCATTATTGTGTCTGTTTTGTTCCTCCATGTAAAGCCTGCCCAGCTGCTTCATTTGGTACTTAGCTCTCTTTGATGTAGACAAATGCACCAATCAGTAACCCGCTCTTCTAATTATCCCAGTCTCTGTTGTGTGGCAGGCAGGGACCTGCCCCTTCTCATGCGGATGACACTGATGGTTGATTCAGCTTCTGTTTTTTTGTCCTTTCTGTTTATTGCAGGCTTTCATTGCTGACAACTGGCACATGATCTGAGAACATCAAATTTGAGGTAATTATTCCCATTGTCTTGTGCTCTGCAACATAGACTGTGCATGAAGGTGACACACACACCTACACACACTCAAGGACTTGTCTAGCTTAAGAGATACATTGCATGGCTTCAGGGGTGACATTGTGCTGCTGTGGTGCACATTAACTGGTACAGAGAGAAGTTTATTCATATGGGTAAAGTGACCATTCTGCTTGCTTGCAGGTCAGGTCACTACGTAGCCAGAGTGTTTATCTCTGTCAGCATGCCCTTCACCAAAACTACAGGGCTGCTGCTTGCTCTGAGGGTGGTCATTCTGTCTGTCTGATGATATTATTAATGTGCTTACAGGCAGCGCAGGTTTCCAACATTTTTCATATTTGAACATGTTTCCTTGTTCATGTAAATGCTGTTTCTGTTGGATAGTTTCGTTTACGCACAGTACACGTTTAAGGCAGAGGTATAAACTCATCACACCTGCAAAACACTAATCTTCTTTAGAAAAAGGACATTTTCTAAGAAAATAGTTTTTGAATATATATCCAACTAAAACTGTGAAAACATGGCAACTTAAAAATAAAGAACTAATCACCCTCAGTTCCCTTCTACAGACACTGTCCCATATACAGACATTGCTAAGCCTTGGATTTTATGTGTAGAAGCTAACATTATACATTTACTGTGGGTGTGGCCAGTTGATTCTCCCTTTAGCTCTTAGTGGTATTCTCTTGTCTACAATGTAAACTGTAATATTAATGTCAACTGGCAGCACATGTTTTACTTTATTTTATTTTAAAGCTCTGACTTGCCCTAAACTAAATCCCTAAATAACTGTCTATGTTGTGCAAATGTCACAGATTCTGCACGCTTCACTGATGCCAGACCTCAGTCAGTGCTGAAAACAAACACAAGTCTTTTCTTCAGCTTCTAGGTTGGAGTGTGATAAGTGAGCCTCCTCACTTATAACAAGATCAATCTGGAACGTTAGGACGTTGCATTCTCTAATTACAAGATTAGCATTCAGAAATCTTGCACTGCTTGAGCTTCCTGCAATATAAACAGTATTTATGCCCTTTCAGTACACTTGTGGGACACATTTAAACAATTATGAAATATTTATTCCAGTTGTAGGATATCTACAAAACATACACTTCACTGTTTGCATGCATGTATAAAGGAGGGGGTGCACATGATGGGCAGAGGTTTATCAGTTTGCAAAAAACTGATGAACCTCTTTCTGAATAAAGTTTGTCAACATAAGAATTAGGAAGACTTTTATATAATTTCATCATCTTCAGTACAAAATATCATCAAAAGATTCTGGGAATCTGGAGAAATCTCTGTGCGCAAGGGACAGAAATCAATATTGGATTCTTCTAGTCTTTGAGTCCCTGAGCAACGCTGCGTTAAAACAGGATTCTGCTATGGAAATCAGAAAGTCACATGTGAACGGAAATGCCTCCATCTTCTCTGGACCAAAGTTCATTTGAAATGGACTGAAGCAAAGTCCAAAACATATATCTCATACCACCTCCCATCGAGTGTAAAGCAAATAGGGAGGCAGGAAAAGTAATTTTTCAACCCGAAGTCATCATGCCTGCTTGCTCAGAAACCATAGACACCACACTTAAACATTCTGTGTACTGTGGAACACTATAGTAACCCAAGACGCTTAACCTGGGAAACCAAGCAAACTGGCCTGAAGGGGGTGTTATGCTATTTTATGACAACTGGGCATCCGTTGCCATAAAATATGAAGAAAATGAGTGCCTGCTTGGTAACTGATGAATCTGGTATGAATATGTATTAGAACGCATACAATATTATGATGGATAATTGACTGGGTCAGAACATGTTCAAAATCGCAGGTCTTGTTTGGTGTTATGTGATATTTAATCCCTAGTGAACTTGGTCCTCAGACATTATCCACTAATGGATATTAAATATTTAGATATTGAGTTCATGGTACAATATCAGAGCAAATACCGAGTGGTTTCTTTCAGATTTGGTACAGTACAAAGCAGTGAAAGCAGTGGACTGAATGACACCTACACAATCATAGACAAAGAAAAAGGGTTCATGGATATGACAGCCGCTAAAGCAGAGAAAAGTTCTTGCAGAGAAAAGTGAGTTAAAAAGACAAGGCATGAAAGGACAAAATATTTGACTGACAAGTGATCCTTGGGGAGTTAGGCACAATGCTGCCAAACTGAAAGAAGCAGGAATCACACAGATTTCCACTTTAAATGTCAAAAGCTGCCATGCAAATTAGGTGTAATGACCCTCTGCCCTGCCAATAATAGATGTGTAGCATTTTGGAATGAGCTGCTTTATATGTTGATCTCTTGATTTCTTTATACGTTGATTTCTTTCCATTTGAAGCAATGACAGCATTTGTCATGAGGGGTGGCACGTCTTCTGTTGTGTCACATTTCCCACTGACAGATACGTGGAGATTTCCCCAGTGTGTCACTTCCAGTAGGAGGAAAGTACCATTGATCCACGGTGATTGGTGTACAACGCACTAATTAGGGCAAGCTTGAAACAACAGTCACACTGAAAAGGACCGCAAGGTAGGGAGGCTTTCCACCATGAACCAGTTGTGACCAATTGGATGTTATAAAATTAAAACAGATGATTAAGATCTAACGTTAGCTGAGAGCAGTGGTTCCCAAATAGTATGAAGAAGCATGCTGGTGTAGATTTTGTTTCAACCCTGCATTATAATTCACTAAAAAGTTATGAATACATTTTATATATTTGTCCACATTTCCCAATACAGAGGTGAGTTCTATACCTTTAAAACAGCCTTAAAAAATCTGTCTTCAGTCTGTTTGCTCAACTGCCACATCGAGAAAATTGCCCATCCAACCATCTTCTTCTGCTTATCCGGGGCCGGGACACGGGGCACAGGGGCAGCAGCCTAAGCAGAGAAGCCCAGACCTCCCTCTCCCCGGCCACCTCCTCCAGCTTGTCTTGGGGAACACCAAGGCGTTTCCAGGCCAGCAGAGAGATATTATCTCTCCAGTGTGTCCTGGGTCTGCCCATCAAGTCCCCATGCCATGGAGTAAATTATTAGAGCATAATTCCGGCCACTAAAAACTGCGAGACACTCTCACAAAACCTACCTGTTTTGCTGACTTCTGCTGGCCCTTATCCACACGCATCATCTGTCAGAAGAAGTTGGCTAATGCCATCCTAGTACCAAACAAGCTGAAGAGGCACTTGGAAACCAAACATCCCTTCTGAGAGACACTTCAAAAGAGCCTGGATCTGAACCAGAAGCAACAAGCCTGCTTGTCAGATGGCGTGAAGATGTCTGATAAGGCGATGAGGCGAATTATATGCTGGTAAGGTTTATTGCAAAGCAGAGGGAAACTCAAAATAGTGGCTCTTTTAAAAAATTGCAGTTGCAGTGCTAGGTTATCTGACAGTACAATCAACATACGCAATCCGAAAGCACGACATGTTAGACACAGACACAGAGGTTAGTTTGTACAAATATAAAAAGAGATGTGCCTTGAAGTTTTGACCTACCTTTCAGCGTGCCTCGGGTACTTAAAGTTTCAAAACCATTGTTCGTGAACAAAAGGATCAGGAAATACAGTTTTTTTTTGATACTACCATTCATATTATATCATTGCATTTATACTATTAAATGATTATAAAATGATTCATTGCCATTTGGCTTATGCTCACAGTTTGATCTGGTTTTAATATACATATTATTTCAAAGGAGCTGTCTGAGTTGGCAACAAACATGGTATATACCAGGGCAGGCAGGACTTTTGTTTCTACAAAGTCTTGCTCATTCTTGCTAATAGCAGTTAGGCTTTCAAAAAGTTTTCATGCCTCAGCTGTAAAAGGATGAAGGGGTATTGGCTTTCCGACAATACCAGGTGGTGCGTGGGCAGTCGAATGGGCAGCATGGAAACCGAAGTTTGTGAATGAATTACTTGGTAACTTGAAAATGGAGCGATGTAGGATGTAGGAATTGATACAACAGGTTTATCTACCAAAAAAGACAAGTTCGGATCTCCGTGACCTCGACCTGAAAGGTCAGGGGTCAAGTTTTCTGAAAGTCTTCTTAAAGTCTTGTGAACTCAAGAAGGAGTTGATGTAGGATTGATTTAGGCGCATCTAGTAAAAATCTCAGACGAGTGAATCTTAACGGCCCCGAACTCATAGATGAACTCACCTACGAACTCACTCAAAGGTGAGTTTGGGGTACTGTTAGGCTGAGAGGTAGCTCGGTCGTCGTTCACTAATGTTGATCTACCAGTCATATTAAGTGTGTGTGTGTGTACGTGCTTGTGTGTGATTGATATCTTTTAATAAGTGGTTAAAAGTAAACATATAAAAAGGACTGCAAGATATTCGTGTGCGTGTGTGTGTGGGTGGATACATCTAACACATGTTTTGAAACTTCTAAAGATAAAAAAACCACTAAATCTGTTAAGTCAGTAATCAGGTGAGTACATTGCATCACATAATGAAAAACACATGCACATTTATGCACTTTTAATTTAGAGGTATGAGAAGTCCGCTGTGTTTTGGTTAATTACAGAAATAGAGAGAGTGAGAGGATGAAGAACAAATAAAAAAAAAAATATGGGAATGTGAATTTTAAAGGACAGCGAAAGAGAGACAGAAAGACCGATAGAGGAAGGACTATTTGCTAGTCGTGCTGCCATCATCCTGCCAAGGCAACTCGGAAAATTGCTTTGACTATATTTAGCAACAAAAGACAGCAAGGGTCTGATGCACACACATGTACACACACGCTCCTTGGCGGGGCCGTGATTTGCAGTTGACCGATGATCAAAACAGCATGGTCAGCTGTATCTTTTCACATGCGCGCACACACCCACACACACAGTGGCTGGTAGTTGATAGTGTGGTCTGAAGTGGATCGTGCTCATTAGGTGGGGTTTCAGATTGGGTTCTATTTATAGCCGAGAGCAGGCAGCAGGCTCAGCAGTAGCAGCGGCAGGATGGAGGTGTTTGAAGTAGCACAAGCC